TGTTTGTAATTTTTGTAATGTGTGTTTTTATGGTTGAGGGAGGAGTGGGGGGGGGGGGAAGAAACTAGAATTCCTCCTTTTGTCAAAAAGGAAAGGAAGAAAAAATAATTTCTAACAGATCTCTACAGTGTCTGGCACCTACCTCCTGTAGCTTTGCACAGTCATTTGTACCATTTCTGGTACTGACAAGGAAACTGCAAACAAGAAGAAATAAAAATAATGTATTTTCTTACCTTTTTTCCCCTTCAAAACAGAAATGTATCAAACTAGAGAAAAGACCAAAAGACCGATTGCATTATATAAAGAAACATTTTAGCCCGAGTGGCAAAGTTGCAGACCACCACCATTGTGGGAAGCTCAAATCACAGTGTATGTTAGTCGTAGGTAAATGCAACACATGTCAATAAGAAAGGGAAAATAGGTGCCTTTACATTTCATAAAATTAGTAGTAGCACACTCTAAGCCCCTGCTATTTAAAAGTAAGCACTATGAATTGGGTTCCACCATCTGCTGTAGAGCCATTGAAGATATACAGAGCAAATATGATGAGGATAACTTTTAATCCCTGCTTTTTTAGTTAAAAAAATACAATTAAAATATATTATTTTAAATTCTCATTCCAGCACATGCTGGTACAACTTTTTTGTGTACAATAGTTTTTCAAGTGTAATTCACTGAAATTTTGTGAATATTTGTGAACATTGATTTCTCTGGGCTTTGCATCATGCTCTAAACATGTTTGAGAGGAGTGAGACAGTTGCAGGACGCTTGCAAGAGTTTCTGAAGGAGGAAATATTTGTCCAAGAACTGATAACATTGTTTACTGGACTCCAAGTGTGCTGTACCTATGAGCTGTAAAGTGCATATTTCATCATTTCATGATGATGAAATGGGAATAAATCAGATGCAAATACACAGTGCCTGTAGTTGTCACTTCCTTCCACTGAAAAAACCACACTTGTTGATCCTCTGAAAGCTGGGGTAACATTTGTCTAGGAGCAGCAGTAGATATCCTTCTGCATTCCACAAGATGAATATTTTTTGTCTAGCTTTTAAAGTTTTCTTTTCTATTTAACAAAATTGTGTCAATAAAGAAGGAGAAAACATCCTTTCACATTGTCTACTGGATTATTCTTCCGCTCATAAATTCTAACATAAGTTCCTTCTGGCTTACTCAGTGCAAGGATATCCATCCAAATTGAGAAAATAAAGGTTACTGACATCCTGTAATTTGCTGTGATAACATAAACCAGACTTTCTAGCAGCAAACTGAGCATAATTTGAATAAGAATCAGCTACTTGTTGTATACCATTTCCTACTCACATGTCAACAGAAGCTGTAGATTCACTATAAAAATGCTTGAGAATGTAAAAAATAAGATCTGAAAGTGAGAGTTAATACAATTTTTCCGTAGCAGCACGTAGGTGCTCCTCTTTGTAACAGAACATCATACCACAAACTGGCTGCTGCTGTGATTTCCTCAATATCTCATATTGTCGGGACTGAATGAACACAAGTGCTGCCAAATTAAAAACGTAGCCCTGTGAAACACTGGCCAGGGTGCTAAGTAAATAATTTAATCATGAGAAACCTGGTGTTTGTAGGATGTGTGGGAAGTAGCAGGTCACCAAAAAATCAAATGGACAGAACTTGACAGGTTACTGCAAGTTAGGTAAGAGGCAGTAGCTAGTGTGACTGTACTCTCAAACCAGGCAAACAGGGTATGACACCTTAACTATCTTTCGTTGTAGGCTAAAGTAAGTTGAATTGTCCTCTATTGCTGTGGGTAAAGAACATGCCAACGTACTGCTACCAAGGCTAAGCCATTCAACCTGTTAAGTGGTAGTAAATTGCTCAGAAGCCCGTGTCCACCTCGTGACGGACAAACTTTGCACCTCCAGGTAGTGCAACACGGGCCATTTCACTTATGGTTACTCTCCACTTCTTTCTCTAATGAGAAGACTCTCACGAGAAGTTCCTCATTAGAGAGCTTGACATTTTGAAATATTAGAGTTTATTTTCTCCATATTTAAGAGGTCACAGAAATAGTAATAGGGAGGGTACTGTATTTACATTTCCTGATCTGTGTAAGTATTTTGTTCCTGACACAAGAAACACCGAATCTCATTACCAAACTGGAAGATACTTTGGGGGAAATAATGCCCTTTAGAAATCTGTCAGAAAACCTTATGAAAACAAACAAGCAAACAAAAAATACTTTGTAAACCAACTGTGGTGCTAATTGGTGCTCTGTTTACTGCACATCTAAGTATATCTTTGCTTATGAATAATATATTTTGCTAAGCAAAATGTGGCTTTTGATACTTGAGGGAAGATAAGGCATTTTAGCCTCAGTAATCTCTGATTAACGGGAGACGAGATTAATTCACATATTGTTGAACGGCATCTTCTACTTGTGAACCCAATAAACAAAAAGTGTAGATATGGAAGCACTGATAAATAATATTTTGGGCTTCCAAAAGCACTAAAAATGTGGACATTTTCAGGAATATATGACGAGCTGTGAGATGATTTGGGTTTCCGGCTTCTTTCCTAAAAAATAAAGTCTCTGAATTCACTACATTCAAGCAGATCAGGAAAGTAGGTGAGAACAAGTGAGAAGTTCTGCATTCAGGTCAGGCAGAATTTCAGTCACCTGGAACTCTTGTACCATATCTTCCAGACCACTGTGCAAACCTCTGCTCCTTCCATAGAAGAAAATCAAATCATGCCAGTGGAGAAGGTGAGCCTAAGACTTTTCTGTTGAAGGCCTCATGAGAGAATCTTCTCATTTTGACTCCAAATGGAGGAAAAAATATACATCTTATCCATGAATATCACATTTTCCCAATAGCCCCTCCCCCCAAATGTCTGTGGTGCTTGATATTTTATAGTTAAGCAGTGCTTATTAGAAATGACAAATGATGTTCTGTCTTACCTGCCTGCTCTTGGCCTTGCAGCTTATCCCCCTTGTAGATAGACTGTAAGATAAAAAACGTTAAAAAAGACAAAAAAATTAAATCTCCCAAAAGAACGACTGCCTGACTTTCCTGAGAAGAGACGAGGTCAAGGAGGCAGTCTGGTGGACAGGCACAGCACAGGGCACTCAGGACATGGATGAGCTGAGTGGGGATGGCTGGTAGAAAAACAGAGCCATAGGCTCATCTTCTTTCCTGCCTGTGAACGTCACCTACTTCCCCCTCAATATACACTGGCCTCTGTTAAGTCTTCAGATTCAAATCTTGAGTTTATGCTTAAGGCAAAGACCATGAAATTTTAGCATTCTGCATGAGTAAAGTCGTCACTTCTGAACTGAAATTTTACTAAGAATCTAATTAAATCAGCTTATCCGGGGCAGGAGTGAGAAGAATGAAAGCAAAAGCCTTTTCAGTGCATCACATAAGAGGCAGCTGTATGACAGCTCTCAGCTGATCTGTGTCTGCATGGTGACATGGTAATTATTAATGACACCAGTAATAATAGCCAATCCTGCAATGCATGAGTTTGGCTGACTTGGCCTTACCCTGCTACTGGAAAATGCTGCTATGACTGTTACATAAGATTACTGCTATTTTTTTTGCTCCTCACCATACTTCCAAACACCATTCCTAAGACTGTGTCTTTTTTTTTTTTTTTTTTTTTTTTTTTTTTTTTTTTTTTTTTTTTTTTTTTTTTTTTTTTTTTTTTTTTTTTTTTTTTTGCTTCTCTGGCACAACCTTCTCTGGCACAACCCTGCCTCTAACCAAATACACTTCAGCTGCATTTGCTTAAGCAGTGAATGCAAGAAGTCATACTGAAAAATTCATGGGAAATACCAGTCTTTCTTTGTCCTGAAGAAGGACAAAAAGTTAAAAAAATCAGAATTTTGGTGAACAAAATACATTCAAGTTTAAGTAAGTTCAAGTTTAAACTATATTTCCCTGTAGTAGCACATTGCCTCACAGAGTTGTAGGTATGTGTAACCACAGTTTGAGCCATAAATCACGCTCGTGTGGCAGGCTACATCTCCCTTGGGGCACACAGCACTGCGAAATTCCCATGATGTAGCAGATAGCTTGATCAGAAAGCTATCCAGACACAGGATGAGAAATGATATCCTTCAAAGAATACCCTGGAAATGAACAGAGCACTGAGATACATTTCTCATGAGGCACTGGGTTGTAAGCAAGACATCATTTCAGACTGAATAGTTGTGAAAAAGTATTTTGTTGTAGTTCAATGAAAT